AACCATCCGCATTATTTGTTCTTGCACCTAACCAAAAAACAAAGAATGTCGTTTACAACAAGGAGCTTGAATGAAAATCCGATTAATAAATAAATCAGAGTGTTTCCCAACCTGAGCAACATAGCTTTCAACAATTTTTTACCTAAAACTTTCATTCATTAGAAATTAAATTATTCAAAAAATAATTTCGTATAATATTGCCCACACTGCAGCGCAGCCCAAGCGCAGTCGTTGCTTAATGCGTAGTCAGCAGAGCGTGTGGTTCTGTGTGCGTGTAGATGCATGTTTATGAATGTGTGCATAAAAGAATTGCAGAATGATTAGAGTATCAGCTTGGAGGTTTCATGGTATCTCCTAGTTGAGCAGTCTCGACTAAAGCCGTCTCATTTATTCGTTTATAAATTCTGTGAGTTAACGCATTTAAGTAAAATGGCCATATATGGAATTTGAAGTATTTTATATACAGAAGAATTCAGTTTAACTGACTCCGTTTTTAGTGTCCGTATGGATATTGCGAAAAAAAAAAGTCCCAAGGCAAACTTATATACATACGTAAACTTACATATATGGGTAGAGCGACGTTATAGTTATAATCATTTTGAATCGATAAAACAAAATTCTGATTTGAATATAAAATGCTTCTAAGACAAACGGAATTACGATCTGTGCAAGAGCATTCGTGTTTTTCCGTTTTCGTCTTTGTGTAAGCGATTATGTGTCTGATTATGCTGATTATGTGTTTAGCAAGCGCGGTGGATCTGGTAAACAGTCTGTTGCGAAACCGTCGCATTCAGAATTGTTTCTCAATGTGTGAGTGATAAACGTCTACTCTCGGACTTTGTGAAACCTGCGATATTATATGATATTCATTTAAAATTTTAATGCCCTAGCTATAAATTATTTACGAGATCGCTCCAATACGGTTCGTCGGGTCGTCTTTAAATACATATCGGCTAGGGACACCAGGTATCTTCGAGTCACCTCTTTCCAGAGTAGTCTATTTTTGTACTCACATATATTAACTGTTTATTTATTCAATGAACAATTCGTTTGCAATGCTTTATAAATAGATTTATGAGAGCGGCTTCTGAACTAAGGTACATACGAAAATGTGCATCTTCGAAAATATAAATGTATAATTGTTTACATAGACATTATGTGTTGCCAGTATGTTAGTAAGTAAATATTAATAAATTGATATATACTTATACACTGCGCGCTTACACTCAACCTCAATGCTAAATAAAATCTAAGCCATCGAAGCTCCATCTAAAATTTTGTTTATATTATACAACATCTATTTCTCTTTAAAATAAAAAAAAAATAAAAAAATTGAAGTTTGTTGTAGTAAGATATTGCTACCTACACCAATGCCTGTGCAACAACTTTTCTATATTTTGTTCACTTAATTATAGGCTTCATTTTAGTATTGTTAATCTTTATATACTTTATATTTGTATATTATTATTTTCTTTTAGATCGCGTCCACTCAGCATCAATAGTTCGTCAACCATCAGACCGCAGGCTTGATGGTAACGTATCCTTTCGATCTAATGGCAATACATCTAGTAGCACCTCTGTGCTTAATAGTAGCGATTTGCAGAATTCATTTCACGCTGCTAACAATCCCAACGAAAGTGCTACCAGTAGTGGTGGTTTTCTAGGTATTTCAGAGCTCACCACAAGTGCAGGATCCGTGACTTTATCTAGTTGCTTGACAAGCACAGTCGGTATGACTTCTCAAAGTGATTTAAATACTACTGAATCGCTTGAAAGTAAGGATATAAGAAGGGAAACGTATGTATTTATAGAACATAAACTAAACAAGAATATTAAAACCCATATTTGCAGATATTGCCAACAACACAAGAATGCACAAGTCTCAGTGAACCGTTCGGAGTCGTACAAGGAACGCTTATCAAATAAACGTATCCGTAATAGTCGCCGAAAAACTTCGGATCCAAGTTTATCCTCTCGTACCAAGTAAGCAAAATAAAATAAACTGGAACCCTACCTATTTAAGTTCAGAAAGCAGAATTAACACTTATGTTTTGAAGGGCAACGGTCATTTTTTATAATGTATGACGGCAAAAGTGGGTCACGTCTAAATGTTATCCGTTTACTTCCGTTTCTTTATTAAACTGTCTCGCTTAATGTCCGTTTAAAAGGACAATCCCCAACTTAAAGTCTACATTACGGATTACACTTATTGACTTGCTGCACCTTTGTGCTTCATATATGTATGTTTAGTATTCGAGCTCAATTCAATTAGAACGGAGCTGTAGCGACGCACACAAAGCACACTGTAATATAAACATACAATGAAAATTTAATGTGTTTTTAAGACTTAGTAAAAGTTTTAGAGATATGATTGACCTTGATTGTGATAAGTAAGTTTTCTGAAGTCATATATTCTAAAATTCATTTTCGGTAATTGGCTTGTAATATAAAATACTAAATAATAATAGCCATTATTTGATCAAAGTTTTCGATAAATTATTTGCAAACAACGTGAATCTTAAAAAAATCAGTCGGTCACGAAGAATAATGCAGGTATTTCCGTGAAAACCCTTACAGCCTTTATAATGCACATCTATGAGCAATTTTTTAGCAAATTAATAAAAAATAGAAAACTGAACCCAAACAAAACGGCCAGATCGGGAAAATCATTCAAAAAACCTATAAAAGACCGCATCATATTGACAAATCTTAAAGAAAATGAAAAAAATTTGCTAAAGCGTTCATAGGCAAGACGCATTTATTCTGGGGAAAGGTAGCATGGATGGACGATAGATAAGCGATTTATAGCTAAGAATATTCGCAAAAAAAAAGAGGCCTATGTGCGAATAGGTGTCACGTGGAAAAATGAAGGAGGATAATTAATTATGTGTCTTGAATAATAACGCATCGAATTCTGGTTACCGGCTCATTGGAAAATCATGTACGCCGCAGCAGGACAATGCTCTATGCCACAAGGTCCATATTATAATTGAATTTTGGGGGATGCGTTAGATTAGCCACCTTAGAGTCCTGATCTCAACAGCAGGATGTTTCAATAGAAACATTACAAAATTTGGTTAGACGCTCGCAGATGTTAAGGGAGGGTTTAATTCTTATTAATATTGTTTTTTACTTTCACCATTGTTAAGCTTTTGTCTCACTTTATTGATTAAAATTAATGTCGAAATACTTTTGTCCAGCCAAAAAATGACAATCTGCCATGCAAATAATTATAGAAAAAGAATGAGTCATGTTATCAATGCAATATTTTGGACAGTTATAGCTTTTTATATGTGCTTTCTCTGAAAAATATAATTGGCACCGTTATTTCACCCAGCATGCAGAAATAAGCGGTTGATGTTTTTGCGATGTGTTGTCAAAATACTTTTGTCCTCCATTGTATGTTAATTTCCGTGAAATTATAAATACAAAAAATATGGAATTCACAGTGAGGATCCAGGAGAGCTGGGCCTGTCAACTGCAAACTATACAGGAAGCTCAAGTTCTAGTCTGTCATCTGGAGGTGGCTTTGATAGTTCAGGCACATCAATGGAACAGGTCACGAGTTGTGTTGCTCTATCAACTATTGGAACCAACACCCATTCAAATGCTGCTAATTCTCATCAGCATCCTAATAAGCTTGTGCAACAACAAGCAAATCAACACAGTCAGCAAGAATCTTCTCAAGGTACCATAGGAAGTTGCAGTAGTGTCAGTAATACGAACTTCTGGAGTGTCGGACAGCCTCTGCAACGTCAATGGAATTTTGAAAGTGATGATGAAGATTTAAATGAAGCCGACTGGAGCTCGATAGTTCCAGTCGAGATGCTAGCCGCGCTAACAGATGCTGAAAAAAAGCGGCAGGAAATTATAAATGGTAAACCTGAATGATCCAAATATTATGTTGCCGATTTATTTGAATTTTGTTTTGTTTTGCACAGAAATTTATCAAACGGAACGCAATCACGTACGCACTCTCAGATTGTTGGATCGCTTGTTCTTTTTGCCTCTTTTCGACAGTGGATTGCTTTCCCATGATCACTTACAGTTATTATTTCCTCCCGCACTTATATCCCTGCGGGATATTCATGGTGCCTTCGAACAAAAACTTAAACAACGTCGCATTGAACATAATCACGTTGTAAAACATATTGGTGATTTGCTTTCGGATATGTTTGACGGGAAATCGGGGGAAGTGCTGTGTGACCACGCTGCTCAGTTTTGTGCTCGTCAGCAAATCGCACTTGAAGCGTTAAAAGAAAAGCGAAATAAGGATGAGCAGTTGCAAAAGTTGCTTAAAAAGTCAGAGTCACATAAAGCGTGTCGCCGACTAGAGCTTAAGGACCTGTTGCCTACGGTATTACAGCGACTCACGAAGTATCCTCTTCTGTTTGAGAACCTTTATAAGGTGACTATTCGAGTGCTACCCGAAAATACCACGGAAGCAGATGCTATACAGCGAGCTGTAGAATCCTCAAAAAATATTCTTGTTGAAGTGAATAAAGCTGTTAAAGCAGCTGAGGATGCTCACAAGTAAGTTGATTTAAACGCTTAAAATAAAATATTATTTTTCGAAAAAAACTTTATTTCAAGGCTACAAAACATTCAACGCAAATTAGACAAATCATCGTATGACAAAGATGAGTTTAAGAAGTTAGATTTGACACAACACCGTCTGGTACACGATGGAAACTTAACGATGAAAAAGAATCCAAGTATACAGCTTCATGGGCTGCTTTTTGAAAATATGATAGTTTTACTTACAAAGCAGGTAAGGTATTATCTTTTATTATTTTTTGTCTCTTTTGTATTATGCGTGAAACATAAGCTTACTTTTCTGTTGTTTTTTTTTTTTTTAGGACGATAAATATTTACTAAAGAATCTTCATACTCCCCTAGCAGTCAGCAACAAGCCTGTAAGCCCTATTATGAATATTGACTCAGAAACATTAGTGCGTCAGGAAGCCGCTGATAAGAATTCGTTTTTCTTAATTAAGACCAAAACATCACAAATGTTAGAGCTTCGTGCTCCTAGCAGCTCTGAATGTAAAACGTAAGTCTGTTAGTATACAACTCGAATTTTTATACGCTGATTCCATTTGCAATGGGAAATGAAGGTAAAATGGTTTTGTTACCAAGTATGTAACACGCAGAAGGAGGCGTGTCAGACTTTTTATACCCTGAACCCATTGAAAATGGGAATTCAGGGTATATGTTTAGCCTTTAGTAAAATTTTGGTTCGCCCGCGGACCTGAATCCACGAAATTTAGCAAAATATTATCTATAAAAGAAGTGTTCCTTAACTAAATTGGTTTTTTGAACATGTTAATTTGATAGAACAGAGCTTGGCGACAATTGAAATTCATTTGCAGTGCGTTTTATGAAAAATTGAAAATTAAAATTGGCTGTTATTGAAAGTCGCTCATTTATGTAACGGTACTAAGCAATGCCAGGTTTAATACTCACAGCCAGTGTTGCCGTTTTTCCCAAGCAAAACCAGCTGAATTAGGACAAAAAATAGGAAACAACAAGCAGAATCCAAGAAACAAATAACTGAAAAATTAGTTAACATATTAGAATTTTATTTATTTATTTATTTTTTTCTTTTTTTTGTTATTACCGATATACGTAAAAATATTGGAACTAAAAATATCATATTCTTAAAACGTAACGAAAATAACTAATAATAATTTGATGGAATCTTCAGTTTTTGTTCCTCAAGGGACTAGCGACAATTCATTATATTTACGTACAAGCTCGTCAAGCCCTCTTCAAATCTGTTAGCCAGGCGTTTCTAACTTTTAGTTTATAATTATCTTTAGGCATTTTTAAAACCAGCGAATCTATTTCTCCAGTATATGTTATTGCATAACTAGTGTGAGACTAGTAGTTGCCAGGTTGTTAGTTCCTCAATTAATCGGTTATTGAGAAACTTTCTTGTGATAACTAAAATCAGATAAAAAAAAAATATCAAGAATCTGTTTTGATTCTTAAATAAGCCAGATTTTCCGCTATCTGCAATTCACTAATTTTTTCCGTAATTGCACTTGAAAATAAGTCAGATCTGGCAACACTGGTCACAGCCATAATTTGCAAATAAATGCTGACCTTTTTATTCCTTTCGTTTGGAAAACAAGCGAAAAATTGCATACACACCACAGCAAAATCGAAATCGAAATAGGCGGATTCAATCGGTTGCTCAGTCTGTTTTCAAACTGTGAGTGTAAGGCACTTATTTGAAGACATGGTCAAAAGTTATTTGCAAGCTATGTTCACAGCACGATTTCGGCAAAATTATTACATATGCCGAATAGTGTACTTGAGACTTGTGCTTTGGTAAATATACGTAATTTAATATTACACTCACAATCTAAAAGTTTCATAAAGGAAGTCCACTTACCAGAAAAATTGTTAGCAATGAAGTTTCTATAGCCAGCCCGCCCTGCAGCCCGTGTGTGTTTATGAGTGTGTATCTCTGAGTGTCAGTAAAATGCAAAATTATTAAAATATCAGTTCCTCGAATGGTTCAGCGGATCTCGTAGTCGAACAGTGGCGACTAGAACTTGCTTACTTGTTAATAAATAAAATAATGTATTATAAATACCTAACAAACCTACCTAAACATAAAATAACACAAACATATTATATTATATAAAAATCCAGCTGGTTTAAACACATATCTGATGCTGCTGCATATCAAAATAAGCCCCGAGCTAAAAATTCTAACAGTCAAGATGCATCTGGCGATGATTCCGTTATCTCCACCACATCGCAAATACTCAACAGGGAGTCTATGGACCAACCACCTGACCATTCACAACCCACAAACCCTACCGGAATTTCTTCTACAACGCCTTTGGCACCGCTGCTCCCAATCTCCACTATGTCACCAGCGCCTACAGCTAGTATTAACAGTGACAGCTGTGATCAGCAAAGTATTTGCCGCCGCGAAAGTTTGCCTACTGATAGTGAATGCTATTACAATATTATGGCCAAGCGACGCTTCAGCCAAAATGAGCCAGTCACTCCAATAAATCGAACCATGTCTACTCGTAGTTGCGGAGAGTCAAACAATAACCTTTCTACGACTAGTCAAGACATCAATTCCGTAAATTTGCGTCACACCCAATCAGCACGTGAGGCCAATGGTGAAGATCGTGGAATGATCTATGGCTTAGTAGGAGGGCAGTCAAAGCGAGATAGTGCAAGCATTGTCTGCTCGAATAATTCTAATAATACACGCACATTACTTATGCAATCACCCTTGGTTGAACCTACAGCTATTCAAATTAGTATAAATCCTGCTCACACCGCAGAACCGGTGTTGACGCCAGGAGAAAGACTACGTCGTCTAGATGCCTCTATTCGGGAGAGGTTACTAGAAAAACAGAGAATTATTTGTGATATTTTTCGTTTGCCAGTTGAGCACTTTAATGAGATTGTCGATATTGCTATGATGCCAGAAGCACCCAAAGACAGCGCTGATATTGCACTAGCTGCCTACGATCAAGTCCAGATGTTAACAGGAATTTTAAATGACTACATGCATGTGTCATCTGAGATGGAAATATCAGCCGTATCGACAGCAGTATGTGATCATTGTCGCGAAAAAGAATTACATTTTGCAAGCACATCTCCCCCGTTACCGAAACCAAAAAAACAACAAGCTCAACAGCAAACACCACAGTTAAATAGAACAGCAAAACATAAAACTCGTGTTGCAGAGGAGGTTGCAATACATGAAGATGACGACGGATATTGTGAAATTGACGAATTACGTTTGCCTGCAATCCATACAAAGTCACCAGATTCGTCAACTCCCCTAGCTCCATTTAATTTTGGATCAGCTACTGAATGTAATTTGAACTTACCTTCATCAAGCAAAAATACTGATATAGTTAAACGAAAAAACGGCGATACCGTAGACGTCCCTTCTGAAAAATGTACTGACAACATTAATTCAAGTCTGAGCTTTAATGCAACTAAGTCAGAAGCACCAACCCTTAAAGCTCCAAAATTAATGGAAGAAACACAAATGGAAAATATGGCTTTATCTGAACATACCGATATGGATCCAAATGAAAAAAACAAAACATCAAGTCAGGCCCGACAACAGCTAGATAAGTGCTTTTCCGCTGATGCGCTGCAAAGTATAGAATTTGCAAAGAGAAATGTCCACGATGAAATAAATGACGTGTACGATAATTTGGTCAGTTCAATATAAATGCTAATATTTTAAATTTTATATAGTTTGTAACCATTTTTGTTTTAGGCTTCATCTAAGACGGCTCATGTAGTAAAATCGATAATCAAGAACTCGTCAACAATAGCTCAGCCAATCTCTCCAATTAAAAATGAAAAAGGAACAAGTTCATCGCCTACCAATCCAGTAGGGAACTTATGCAGGCTAAACCGCATTCAGCACGCTAATTCATTAGAGCCAAGCGTACCCTGTCATGTTCTTAGCAGCATCGTAAATTTGTTGAATGAGCAAATTTCTCTGTTATTGGTAAACATAAATCCTCATCTTTTAAAGTTTTTAAATAGCAATACATTATATTATTTCAGCCCAAAATAAATGAACGTGATATTGAGCGGGAACGTTTGCGTAAGGAAAATCAGCACTTACGCGAACTCTTAAGCGCCATGCATGAAAGTCAGCGAGTTGCTGTAGTAAAGGTAATGTGATTTGCTATATTTTACTAAGTTGCCTATAAAGAATTTAGTTTTTAGTCTTATTAATATTTAAATAAGATTATTCTATTTTAGCTAGTTATAAAATAATTAATTTTTGTAATTTTTTTACCTAAGGAAACTCCAACCGATATTTTAACCATTTTGCAGGCGGCTGACACAGAATTCGATGATAGTATTGATATAATATCTAATACATCTGTAACACCGACAGCAACACCTTTACCTTTTGCATCGACCGACGACAATAATATGGAATCACGAGATGTTCCATTACATACGGAATCACATATTACAGAACCTGCATGCAGTACACAAAATATTGACCGTAACCTGCGATCTCCGGGCAATTCCAACGAGCAACGAGATGATCCCTTACATCCAGCTAAAACCCCAACTGAGAAGCAAGACGAAGATAAAAACGTATATAACTAAGTAAATTGTGTAATTGGATTGAAAACATAAAATTTTTATTATTTATTACTCTCCAATTATATTATTTATATCTTTTTAGCGAGCTTTTCCTCATGCGGTGGACTTACGTTAATCTGACTGCTCCACAAACAGTATATATTATATATAAATCGGCTTACACATAAGTTTATTATATTCGTGTTAAACACACAAATTAAGATTCACACCTATTTCTTTTGCAACGCCAATGCCCAATTGAATTGACAGCGTTTGTGTTAACATATCCTTATATATTATACGACATAACTACTTGTAGTTATTTTTGCTTTACTAAGAAGTACCCTGTAGTGGCTATAAGGTGAAATAAGTTTGATATAAAATAAATATGTAAATTCCGTTTAGAGACATTTAATAATTTAAAACAACTTATTGTTAGTTATTATGCAATTAACTTTATTTTATACGAAATATTGCGTATTTAATTGAAACACACGATAATGGGTTCATGTAAATTGCACAACGTACAATAAACTTATACACGCCCTACATTATATAAAATTAATAAAACAAAAGATTTTTTTTCCTCTCCAAAACAAGTCGAAAATGTAACACTTTTTGGCTCACTTGAATAGGTTTGAGAATTTTAACTTTAATTTATGACTGATTGAACGATTCTAAGCTTTCAAATTTGTTATATTTATTTCCGCTTGTAGCATTTGATGAAGTGTGTACACTGATGGAAGTCGACTTTTTAACTCTGCCGGTATTTCCCGGATGAGTACACATTGAAACTATCTTCAATTACACGTAAAAATCGGTTTGCTATTTTAGAAGAAGCAGATAGCAACACTTAATGCAAAGGTTAACAACTGTCAACTGTTTAAATAGCGAAAATCCCAAACTAAAAAAAACATTTACGATTTCAACATCAACAATGAATGCAAAGGTTAACAACTAGCTGTCGACAGTTTAAATAGCGAATATCCCGAACTAAACATTTACGATTTCAACATCAACACGTAAGAAAGCACTAGTCGAGACGGCTCTACTACGAAATGCCATGAGCCTTTCGAGCAAATGATATTTCAATAATTATTCACAAGTGCACACACACCCAAGCATACGCATGCACGAATCGTGTATAGTATTTGTAATATACAAATGTAGGTGTATATCGGTGGGGGTAAATTTTAACAAAAACCGAAATTCTATAAAATTTATCTCAATATATATTCAAAAGTTGGAGACTCTAGTCTTAAAGATGTAGAAGATATATGGCCATTTCTCCAGAAAGGTCAACCACAGCCAATAAATTCAAAGTCAATGAATGCATGTTCTGATAACATTTTTTATAGCTAATCGATTAAATTTAACTAATATAAACTAATTTTTTATTTATTCATAGCACATCTCGAAATATTGACACACAAAGCCGAGCAATTGCCAAAGTTCTGCTTTGAGCGTTCTATTGCACATTTTGTTATTATTATTGTTCTTAAAGAGAGGCCGCTGTGTAATGAAATATGCTATTTCAAACCTTCGTTTATGCATAAAGAGTACATAAAAAATATAAAACGTACGATTCAATTGACTGTTCGGTAAATTTTTTCTTCTGTTCCACCGTATGTTTCGATGTCACCTGCGACCTCGAAAAATAGGTTTTATTGTCAGTAAGTCAAATGTATTTGCGCAACTAGCATCAAAATTTATTAGCAAACATAGTTTTACATTGCAAATTTATTTAAAAAAATTTCACACGAAAATATTAAGTTTGATCATAGTGTTTTATTTAAAGTAGCTTTCGACACCGTAAAAAGGTAAATAAAAAATGTAAATAAAACGAAGTGAATTTTAAATTTAGGTTGGAAATAATGAAATTTTAAATGTATTTTATGATAGTAGATGAGTACAAAAAACCGCAAAAAGTGCAAACGGTGGAGAGAGAAAGTAAAGAATGATGAAAATTTTTTCCGATGGAAGTTGCGCTCAATTTAAAAATAAGTACATCTTAACTAGTTTAAATGACATCATAAAAGAAATAGGATGTTATGTTAAATGGAATTTTTTTGCCATTTCTCATGGAAAGGGTGCCGTTGATGGAGTAACTAAATCTCAGAGCCTTATTTTACCCAATGCATTTTCTTTTTATGAATGTGCAAAAAATAATAATGGCATTACTTTTTGCCATTAGTTCAAATCGAAAGGCTACGTCTACATTATAAACTGGATCAAAAATGGAACGATGTTACGAACATCCCGCATATATCACAATTTCACGCGTTTTGTTGTAATAGCCAACAGCTGCAAGCAGCTAGGACTGCATACTCTATAAATAATGTAATTAAAGTTAGGTTTTAAGTTAATTTAGATTTTCTTTTTTGTTTTACTTATTTCAGAAGAATATACCCATTTTTTTTTCTTCATTGAGTATATTTTGTTACGTTTTTCAAAAATTTAATAAATTAAATATATTGAAAATCATTTCTAATGCTTTTTTTCATGTACAACTACTAAAAAATTAAAAAAAAAAATAAAAATAAAAAAACGTGTGGTGTAAAAAATGGCTCATTCGTCACGTCACCTTCGACCCTGATTAAATCTAAAAAATAAAAAAAAATACTCAATATTTTTGAATCAAATAAAAAACATTGTAAAGATGTGCCAATTTGTAGTAATTTAAAATTACTCGTAATAAATTGTCACTTAAGGTTTCGCTAAAATCTCAGGTTGAACTGTTCATTTAAAAAGCGACTTACGTTTTTTGTAGCCTGCGAACTTCTTGGTTTTTTGTGATTATCTTGAAAACTAACATTTGCCTAAAATCAGATTTAGCACCAATTATAGAGCTAATCAAGAGCTAACAGATTCACTATTCGTCAAAATAAAAAAATGTTTTCGCATTCGTTTTTTTTAAACTCAAATGCGTACGAATGCCACATTCGCCACTAGAGAATTGCCCATATTTGTTTAACTGATTTTTGATATGGTTTTTAATAATCGATAACAAAAAACCGGGATAGGCTTATATTTTTGCAGATTAACTCGATATGTGTACTATATATATATATATATATACATATACGGATGTTTTGAAACAAATTTCAAGTTTCTAGCTCTTATCTTCTGATATTAAGCGTTTAGACGGACAGGGCTAAATCCACTGAGCTCGTCGTCCAGATGAGAGGTGGGCACGGGCCGACTTTTTTGCTCCCGGCCCTATCCGCCCACGGTCAGAAGTTCAAAATTTTACCCGTACCCAAAAGCAACAAAAATTTCATATCCCCAAATGAACAATTTAATTCTCAAAAATTACAACAAATTTTTTTTCTCAAAAAATTTAATTCTTTGAAATTACAATATTTACATGAATATTACATGTTTTTATGTAAAAAAGAGCATTTCAACATTTGCGCTTGTTCACCTATTTATTCTATTTCGACGCTGTTGAAGCCAGAGACTTCAAATTTGGAACATATACTCGTGTATATCTCCGATTTATAAAATGTTAAAGTTTTCCGGATCCGCCCACTTAGGGCGTGGCAAATCGGAAAATGCATTTTCCAATATGCCAGAAATCATCTTAGTTGAAGAGCTAGAAAGCTGAAATTTGGTATGTAGAGCACAACAACTATGGCGGATACATATCCGCCCTTTGAGGCGTGGCAAATCGGATAAAACTGTACCTCCCAAAGTTGTAAATCTATAATGCTGAAATTTTGCACGTGAGCTAATGTTTCGATTCTTTAAAGATAGCTGGAAAAATTATATATCTACGCTTACTAGGGTCGTGGCAAATCGGACCTGAAGATAACGTGATTTTTCAAATTCTGCTATATTTTAGGCACTATTGATTCTAGAGACCTGAAATTTGGTGTATATACGCAGGTTGACCTCCCAAGTCCAACGAGCTATGACGGATTTATCTCCGCCCAAAAGGGGCGTGGGTAACCGCATAAGTTTATATCTCCTAAAGTATAGGCGCTAGAAGCTTGAAATTTGGATAATTAAGTTATCAGTAACCTCCTCTATAGATTGTTTAAATAATATTGTTACGCCTCATTAGGGGCGTGGCATATCAAAAAATACCCTGTAATTTTTTCATTTTTTGAACTTAAGCATCCACATTTTGCAGCTAGGTTACGGTTAGCTTGTTCCATGAGCTGCCTAAAAATGAGGATTCTACGGCCGCTAGGGGCGTGAGCCATCATAATAAATAAGCTTAAAAAATATTCATAATGCGGAAAAAACATTTTTATGAAATATAAATAGGAATATAAATAAGTAAGAAAGCTCTAGTCGAGACAGCTCGACTACGAGATCCCCTGAACCCTTCGGGCAACTGATATTTCAATTATTCGCACATACACACGCACACACACATAAGCATTAAAAAAAGAAACACAAGCACACACATTTTCATTATGAGCATCAACGCTTTCATACCCTTTTTAGAAATAATCATGAAAAAACTAGAATTTTGTATGAACGTGGCAAACGCTTTACAAATTTCGGTATACCCTTCGCTCAAAAGGAGAGACCATAGAGAGCGAGTGAGTGGCACATATCTATGCTTCATACAGAATCGGGGCCATTTCGATTGAGCGCTCTCAGCGGCCGAGCCGAGCAAATACGAAGTATAATGGTACGTCAACTTAACAGTTTCGAGCTGTAGAAAAGTTTGTTCTATATGTCTACCTCAACTAAGAATCTAGTCTATGTGTTGTCTGGTCAGTGATAACACTTAAATGTTATGTTATGTTCTGTTAATTAACACTTATAACTTTGCTCGCTTACAATTGCTCGTTGCTATGACTTTAGATCTACTTAAACTAAGACAATTTTCTAACTTCACTAAGACTGCCTCGACGTACTTCGTCCTAACGCACGGCCACTTTGCTTGCGTTGCTGATCGGCTTGGCGCCAAGTTCTGTATCGATCTTAACGCACAGCAACCTGGCTTGCGCTCTCGATCGACTGCGTCCAACGGCGAATCTCACCAGCAACTTTGTGTAGTTAATCTTTGCGCACAGCCACCTTGCTTGCGTTCTTGATTAACTTCGTCTCTTTATGCACAAGCTCATCCGCCTGCTTGAAACTGAGCCTACTCATGTGCACCTATACGCAAAGCTATTCGCCTATCTCCCCTTTTTATACTTATTCACGAAATTGAATTATTATTATTAGTATATTGGTTTTGTGCAATATCCGTCTGTCCGTATGAACACAATTTATTTCGGCACTATTGAAGCTAGACTTGAAATTCGGAACACATACACGTTTATATCTCTGATTTTTAGTGTCGAAATTTTTTCGACCCGCCCACTAGGGGCGTGGCAAATCAGAAAACGCATTTTCCGATACGGTCGATGCGGATCTACGGGCGTAACAATTATTTT